GCCTCTTCTCCGCCTCTCTGATGTTAGCAAGCCCAAGCCAAAGGTGCCTGGCCCCGACTTGAGCTGCTGCCATGGAGCGGCCGCCATCGACAGCTAGCGCCTGGCACACGCGCAGGATCGCCGCTGAGGTGGTCCTCGCCTGTGATAAGGTGTCTCCACTGAGCGCCTGGCCAGAAGAGAGCGACCTATCCAGGGCCCCCGTGATGAAGGCCATGTTGTTCGCCACAGCGACGACCTGTGCCGCATTGGCGTAACATCTGTCCAGCATAGCCAACGACGTCCTGTCCCGCTCGGAGGGAAGGAGAGGTCTGGTGCCGGGCCACAAGGATGCGGAGGGGTGCAGGGCCATGCAGACCGAATCCTCGATGTCCGGGACCCCGCCGTTCCAGGACCAGTCCTGCACGCTGCAGTACATGCCGTAGCCCAAAGCGGGCCTCTTGGCCGCTAGGGGCTTTGGCCACTCACGTGTCGCGTAATGGACGATCGGGTCCATCCGCGGGCACAACGTGGGCTGTATCCGCCTCCTCCCTCGAGTGGTGGCGTAACCAGAGGTGAAGTCCTCCACCCTCTGGGTCGGCTGCGGTGGCAGGGGGGCATCCATGATGGCCGCCGCAGAGGAGTAGAGCCCAGGCATGTGGTCCAGTGGGAAGCGGTCCGGCTCCGGGTTCGAGACCACCTCGTCCAGCGTGAGGAGGGAGCCGACCTCCGAAACCTCTCCGTCCTCACAGTCACCCCACTCCGCGGGCACGGGTGGAAGGTCGAGTGGGGCCCAGTCAGTCTCAGACTCCTCGTCCTGAGAGGAGTCCGGACGGGGCGCTGCAGCGGCGAGGAACGCACGCCTGCGTTCGCTCTCCTCCCTGGGGAGAGCGAGACACGAGGTGCAGGTGGCGCTCAACGCCGCATGGCCCGGGGTCAGGCACACGAAGCAGCTGGAGTGCTGGTCCGTGCGCTGGAGCCTGACTCGACACGTCGAGCAACGACGACGTCCGACGCCGGATGGCGAAGGGGAACTCGGACGAGCATCAGAAGACATCTTTTTTCTCTGGAAGTGAGTACTGTGGTAGATCTCAATCGGCGCCAGAGTTCAAGAGGGGGTGCGGCCTTGTGCAGGGGCATTTATAGAGGACGGTGGCTGGTGATTGGAGCAAATTATTTTGATCTCTCTGGCGTGTGACCTGGGGGTCACGAGTGATATCCCACTAGCCAAGTCCTAAGGGACGTAGCACCATGACGTAGAACGGTGTTATAGTTAGTCAAAGTAACTAGTTAGATTACTCGTTACTGAAAAAAGTAACGGTGTTAGTAACGCCGTTATTCCCATCACTGCATAGAGATTGTTCATTCGTACAAATACCTTGGTATCGTGCTTGATAACACCCTCACTTTCAAACCACATATTCAGAATCTTGCAAAGATCAAACTTAGATTGGGCTTCTTCTTCAGAAATAAATGTAGTTTTTCTTTTAATGTGAAAAAGCGGCTTGTTACTGCAACATTTTTAACTCTTATAAATTATGGAGACCTGATATATATGACTGCCTCAACTCAAAGTCTCCGTCAGATTGACACTGTATCATTCTTCTCTGAGGTTCATAACGAACTGCAAAGCCTTGACTCACCACTGTGTAAATGATGTTCTGGACTGGGATGGCCTTCATTGTCCACACTGGGGCTCTTTTGTTTAAAGGCCATGCTTGGTCTGCTGCCCTCTTACATCTGCCAGTTACTCACAGAGAGACATGTCCATATGGTTTGGATCATTTACTCACAGAGACATGTCCATATGGTTTGGATCATTTACTCACAGGGACATGTTCATATGGTTTGGATCATTTACTCACAGGGACATGTTCATATGGCCTGGTCGTACCACACCATAGTACAAATTACATTTCATACTAAGGTCTGGATTTGCTCCATTGACTTCGTTAACAGGTGGGAGGGGTTAACTCCTTTTGCAGATTGAAACAATTGGATCTGAGTTTACCGTGACGTATGTAATGAGCCCGAGTGAGTTGTTAGCATTTAGCCTAGCTTTTCGCCATCTCCTTTGCCGCTAACGGAGCCCGTGGGGAGTAGCGCCACAATCTTGACCAGCGATTACATTTGCTAAACATTCCTCTTGCTCCTGCTTCAGTTTCTTGATAGAACCAGACCGGATTACTTTACTATCACATTCTTCGCCAAACTACAACCTGCCCGTTTGGTGCAAACTCTTGACGTCACCGGCATCGACCTACAACACCCGCCTTCTGCGCTCTATGAGTAGCCGGTCGAAATACGACCGATTGTAATCGCAAACACAGGGACCAGACCCAGACGTTACATGCAGTGAAATGATGATTGAGCGGAGAGTACGGATGGATAAGGCCAGGGACATGTTCATATGGTTTGGATCATTTACTCACAGGGACATGTTCATATGGTTTGGATCATTTACTCACAGAGACATGTTCTTATTGTTTGGATCATTTACTCACAGGGACATGTTCATATGGTTTGGATCATTTACTCAGAGACATGTTCATATGGTTTGGATCATTTACTCAGAGACATGTTCATATGGTTTGGATCATTTACTCACAGAGACATGTTCATATGGTTTGGATCATTTACTCACAGAGACATGTTCATATGGTTTGGATCATTTACTCACAGAGACATGTTCTTATTGTTTGGATCATTTACTCACAGAGACATGTTCATATGGTTTGGATCATTTACTCACAGGGACATGTTCATATGGTTTGGATCATTTACTCAGAGACATGTTCATATGGTTTGGATCATTTACTCAGAGACATGTTCATATGGTTTGGATCATTTACTCACAGAGACATGTTCTTATTGTTTGGATCAAATTATCTTTTGTTTCTCTCTGTTCCTTTCGCACAGAACTGGGAAAAAAAACCTGTTGTATTTTCTGCTCCTTCTACATAGAACGTGTTGCAACTTATTTTGTTGAATGCTTTTAGATCCAGATTGAGAGCACTTGAGACATCCTCATTGAAATGTAACTTTTATAATCCGTAATTATATTAAATTGTAACTGACTGTTTTTAAAATATGTATGTAATTGTATGTAACTTTGGTCCAGGACTTGAAAAAGAGGTTCTTCATCTCAATGGGACTTTCCTGGTTAAATAAAGGTGTAATAAAAAAAACAAAAATAATCCCTTCGGCAACAATAAAACGTACATTAAGTTTATAAAGGCAGCAACAGACATCCTCACTGTTTTTATGTTCTATTTACATTGAACTGATGATTGTCCTTCTCTTTCCTCTGCACAGATCTCATGATGGCCTCTCACACCTCTCCTCTTCTCTCACTCCTGCTTCTTCTGCTCCTGCCTCGTCCTTCTCAGCTCTACTCTATGCACAACTGCAGTATGCACCTCGACAACCTATGGATAGTCAACTGTGATAGACGAGAGTTAACCATGCTGCCATCAGACATCCCCAGATCAGCTCAGTTCCTCTCTGCAGAGGCCAACAACATAAGAAGTCTCAGACGGATCGATTTATTCGGCTTTCACCAACTCCAAACTTTGAACCTTAATTTTAATCATATTGTGTCCATTGAATCTGGAGCGTTTTTGTATTCACCAACTTTGACAGAATTGAGTTTGATTAGTAACAGACTCACAAACCTGACTGAAGACATGTTTAAAGGTCTTTCCAGTTTAACACATCTGAGTTTAGGTGACAACTGGTTCCAAGTGATTCCAAAGAAGATGTTTGAACCTTTGACAAATCTGCAAGAGCTGCGTTTGTTCGGTAATAATCTCTACAGTATAAGTGACCTCGTGACCTCCCTGTTCTACTGTCCACATTTACAGGTCTTGGATTTGTGGTTTAACAAGTTCACTTCCTTTAAGTCCATGGATTTCCCATTTCCTTTAAACATTACAGACCTAGATCTGACATATAATCCTCTGGAGAACTTCACGCTTCATGCAAACGTTTTACCACGTTTAAAATCCCTCACTCTTTCCGATCTCCAATCTAATATTCAATGGGACGTATCAAACACAAGCTTTCTCCAAAATCTGAGGAGTCTTGATTTATCTTTTGAAAACCTTAATATTGAAACGTACAAAATGATTTTCCAAAGTGTGACTTCGATAGATAGTCTCAGGCTCAGTGATGTGCAGTATTTGTTGAACAGAGGTCTGTTGGATGTTGTCTGCTCAATTCCATCATTCCAAAACTTAGATCTACGTTCCAGTGGTTTATCAGTTCTTAACAGCTCTTGGTTCATACCATGCTCCAACATTACTGACCTAGACCTCTCACATAACTCATTATTGAACCTGCCTTCCCTCCACATGTTGAAGCATTTGTCCAAACTCGATATTGGATCTAATAAATTAGCCCAAGTCCCAGAAACCATTAGAAACATGTCCAGTCTCACAGTTTTGTCCCTTTCTACAGATAACATTATGCTCCTTGATTGTTCAGACTTTTCTGGTTTGTGGCGGTTGACAAAGCTCGATCTTAGCAATAATCATCTAACTGAACTGGACAGCTGTGTGTTCCACGATCTTCGGGGACTTCAAGAACTCAATATAGAACATAACCGTCTTAATAAATTGGATGATACTTTCAGTCTGGCTTTGCCAAATCTTTTAGTTCTAACAGCAGATGATTACATTGGCATTCTTGGCGGTGGGGTCTTTAAAAACATGTCAAATCTGAGAGAGATGACTATAAGCTTTCTAAGTCATAGTCGTGGGGTTTTTGATGGACTGATGAACCTGAGGTACTTGAATTACATACCCGTCTTTATTTGCATCCAAAAATCAGGTGCAGTTTCTGGAACGGCCTCTAGGGGACACCCTCTCTCCACACCTTTTAAGGATTTACATTCACTGCAAACTTTAATAATTTATGACTTTCCCTTGTTCTCTGATATAGTAGTATCACAAGATTTTCTCAAAGGTTTAGACAATTTAACCACGTTTTCATCCACTCGTTTACTTGCCCAACCTCACCCTGAAATGTTCACATACACACCACGATTAATGAATCTCAACTTCACACACAATAACAACTGGAATCTTCATGAACAGAATCTTTTAAAGCCGCTCAGTGAACTCCAACATCTGGACCTGACTGGAAACAGCCTTGAAACACTGCATGTTCTCTCAGGAAATCTGTCAAAACTGGAGCGACTGATCTTAGCTAAAAACGAGCTAAAGATCATAGACGAGTCAATTTTCAAGAGGCTTTCGTCACTGAAATATCTGGACTTATCGGACAATCCGTTTGTGTGTAACTGCTCCAACGCTGACTTCATTTCCTGGGTGCTGTATAACACACAGGTCTTTGTGGCCGATACGTTTCAGTACAAATGTGCGTATCCACTGTCTCAGAAAGACCAGCTGTTGCTCAGCTTCGATGTCCAGTCGTGTTGGGAGTCTGTGAGCTTCACCTGCTTCATGTCCAGCTCTGCTCTGGTCCTGGTCACTCTGCTCTCATCGTTCATCTACCACTTTCTCAGATGGCAGCTGGTCTATGGCTACTACCTCTTCAGAGCGTTTCTGTACGACGGGAGGAAGAGGAGACAGGGCTGTGCTCACGTTTACGACGCTTTTGTTTCGTACAACGTTCACGACGAGGAGTGGGTTTACCACCGACTGGTGCCAGAGCTGGAGGAGCAGCAGGGATGGAAGTTATGTCTGCACCATCGCGACTTCGAACCAGGTGAGTGCTGTTCCAAATATCTACTTTCTGTTTCATATTTTTTTTATTGGTGTACATGAGAAACATCTCTTTACATTTCTTAAAGGTTCCATGTTGCGATCTTCTTTACAGTCAATCCAATGTGTGATGATATTTTGAGTAATTCCCCATACAGCACTCAAAACTTGTGAGATTATGACCTGCTCTTGCAAACGGGTGATGTCCCCTCAACTCAAACGAGCTGATCCAGGCAGGAGTCTGCTCCACTGCCTTTGGGCTCACCAACACCCCCCCTCCCGGCCCCCGTGAGGACGTAGCCTCACGTTGAGTTGTTTATCTCCAAAGTAAACTCTTCGATTCGTTGGTATATATACATTTCTGAATTTCTCCCACGGGGAATCAATAAAATATCTATTGCTTGCTTGCAATCACGTGACGCATAAACTTCCGGTTGACGAAGTGGTGGTCAGGCCAGCAACAGTTGCTGCTGATATATGAAGAAAATGCGACTCTTTCGCATTTGGATAAGCTCCTTTCTCTTCCTGGTTTATCTGCTAAGGACAGCAGCAGGTTTGGCTAACATACATATAACACATTTTAAGATCATTTAAAATGCACTTAGGGTAATTTTTCAATGACTATAGGAATGATAAGAAAGAGGTGAAGTGTAAGACGGTTGGTTTTAGAAATTGGATGCAGCCGGCTGCAGCAAAACAGAGGAGTTTATGTTTGTTTTACTTTTTAAAACTCATTGGACTCATTTCCAAACGGAGGATTACATATCTACGCTCAAACTATTATCTGGACTTAAACACAGAACTGGTCTGAACCGAAGTGGACTGTGCAGGTCATTTATATATATATATATATATATATATATATATATAGAGCATTGGCCTTAAGCCCAGAAGATCGTGGGTTCAATTCCCACCTCTGCACCTTCTCCACCGACTCCCACTGATGACTGCTGTCGTTGTGTCCTTGGGCAAGACACTTAACCCCACTTTGCCCAAAGCCCCCACTGAAAGATCAAGGCTATGCTCACAGTCAGAGAGCAGCCTCCTGTGGACTCACCACCTGCAGAGGGTCAGTGAGGGGCTGGGGCATCTCTGACTGCCACCCCCCTGACCCAGAAATGGATTAAAGGGCAGAAAATGGATGGATGGATGGATGGATGGATATATATATATGATATATATCATATATATATAAATATCATATATATCATATCATATATATATATATATATATATATATATATATATATATATATATATATATATATAATGTTATATATGTTATGATATATATGTATGATATACATGTATGATATATATATATGATATATATATATATATATGATATATATGTTCATCTGATTGGGCTGAAGTCAGTGCTTGGTGTTTCCACATTCACAGTGGAGCGTGTTGGTGTTTAGTGCTTACACAGAGACAGATGAAAAGTGAACAGGACTTCAGCAGAAAAACAGACTTTTCTAGATGCAAATATCAGCACTATTTAAACTCACTGAGGTTAAATCCAATCCAATCCACTTTATTTATATAGCACATTTTATAAAACAAGTTTCCAAAGTGCTGCACAGAGATAAAATCAACACATTTAAATATGCTCAAAGTAAAAACAATAAAAATTTAATAAAAACAATAAAATACCAGTAAACTATAAACATGTGATAAAAACAATAAAATACTAGTTATCCAATTTAAAAACAATAAATAAATAAATAAAACAAAATAAAAATAGGACCACACAACTCACGCGGTGTTAAAAGCCAGAGAGAGTAAAAATGCGTCTTAAGACGAGACTTAAAACGTTCCAACGAGGGAGCAGTTCTGACGTGGGGGGGGGCAGAGCGTTCCAGAGCTTTGGTCCAGCCCCAGAGAAGGCCCTGTCCCCGGGTTTTAAGCCTCGACTTAGGCACCACGAGCTGGAGCTGGCCCTCGGACCTCAGCGCGTGGGGCGGGGGATACATTTGGATGAGGTCCGAGATGTAAGGAGGGGCCATTCCGTTCAAAGCTTTAAAAACAAACAATAAAATCTTAAAATCAATCAATTCTAAAATAAACAGGAAGCCAGTGCAAAGAAGCTAAAACCGGTGAAATGGGCTCACGTTTTTTGGTTCCTGTTAAAAGCCGTGCCGCGGAGTTCTGGACTAACTGTAAGCGGGAAAGTGCCTTCTGTGAAATCCCAGTGTAAAGTGCATTACAGTCGTTCCAGACGTGAAGAAGTAAAAAGCGTGCACGACTTGTTCAAAAAGTTTAAAAGGATAAAAAAGGCTTTACCTTAGATAAAAGAGGAAGGTGATAAAAGCCTGATTTCACGACTGTGCTGATCTGTCAAAGTTAAAATCACTGTCCATGGTGACGCCAAGGTTGGTGGCAAAGGGATGGACATTATCCCTGAGGGTGCCCAGGTCCAGTAGGGGATAAAGGTTAAAGGTCAACATGTGCACCTCGAGTGCACATTATGTTCCAGAACAAAACGAAAAAGTAACGCAATAGTTACTTTTACTGGTAACTAGTTACTTTTATAGTGGAGTAACTCCGTTAGTAACTCAGTTACTTTTTGGGAGAAGTAACTAGTAACTATAACTAATTACTTTTTCAAAGTAACGTGCCCTGACTGGCCAACAACAGCAAGCATGACAAGGACACATTTTGTTTTTTACAAGTTGTTTGTGTTTAGTTTTTGCAGATTTGAAATCCATCTCGCAAATTGGAATACAGGGCATTTGTTTGACATAGGTTGGCCTGACCCACTTGCTCTTCTCCTGGGTACAGGGAACTGAACCCTTAATCAGCACCATGGGTTCTACTGCAAACAGTGCTCCTACAAACAAGCTTCACTAAGGCCAGCCATGCAGCTGCAGTCTCAGCCACAAACCAAGTTTTCAATGGTGTTTCTCGTGCTCTCCGGGAAAGGTTGATCTACAAAGAATAAAACAACAATCAGCATTTGTAGATACAATATATAAAAGATTTTCCTTATTACTTACCCAAGCAAAAACAACTGACGTCAACACAAACTTGCTTTGTCTGAAGCTTGTTCACTCAGCCTGACACGAATAAGTTGAATGCTTCCACCGTAAGTCAAGTATATAATGTTTGTAATGTAAGTAGAAGTAAGAGTATATGGTCGTCGGTTGGTTCGTTGGGAAGAGATTCTCAAACAAATGAATATACACACAACAACTTTCAAGCACAAAACAGAAACATGTGAAAGAGCAAGATACAGGGTCAGCAGAAAGCAGGCTGGTCTCGAGTGACTCCAGTCTTAACTTGAAAATGTCATCGATCATTTTCAATGCAAACCTGACGCTTTTGAAGTTGAGTCCGGTGTGAACGCCCCTTTGTTGGCCAATCAGTGTAAGGCAGTCAGCTGATGTCACGTTATGTTGTAGCTTCGGCACGGTTGGAACCATGGACAAGTGGTACAAAAAATGTCCCTGATCCCAAGCCCAACCCGAGAGGAAATGCAAAATAACAGCGCCGTGCCATAACGTACCGTGACTATGGAAAAGCGGCATTAGTCGCTGACAAAAATAGAAAAACAGGTCCATGTGGTGTCCGCGGGACTGTATCACAGACATATGCTGGACTCGGGAGAATCATCATAGAAACAAAACAAACAGGCTTCTGCATATTCGTCAATGTTGAAAAAGTCACAAACGTGACGCGGGCGTTTCGCTGCCTCTCAAGCATGAAAGAGAAAGATCGCTCTCTAACTAAAGCTTGAAGGAATCATTGAGCATGTGCATGAGGGCAAAATAGCACTGAAATGTTTAAAGCAGAGAAAAGTCACAAAGCGCAATACGGCACCTTTAATAAAACAAAGACAATTAGAAAACTGTGCAAAAATAATTCCACTTCAACAGTTCAAACCTATTCGATGGAAAGTTTGATTTCCAGCGTTCGGTTTCGTCTCACAACCAAACATGTAAAAGACAAACCTCACTTTGAACAGATGTTTAGTTATTGCAGTCTTTAGGAAGTCCAAAAACAGCTATATTTTTAAAGTACCTTAGACATTGTGTCAAAATAAGTCAGACACTCCTTCAACATAGGAAGAGAAAAAACATGTGTGATAAGATACAGGGGGAGCCAGAGCATCTTTCTCAAATGTCTGCTGTCTCCGAAACAATCTGGGCCAGTTTTAGAGCAGTGACTCCACCACTGATCTTCAATAATCAAACCCAACTCATGAACACTCACTGTGCCATATACTTTAGATATTCAAGACCTCTGAGGGATTGAGTTGTAAACATGTGTCACATTCCTGATCCACCTGTAAACATGTGTTTCACACAAACTCCTAAAGCGAAAATATGGAAAAAGGTGAGAGGCTCTAATGAGATGCAGCCGTGGTGAGCACAGGTACGTTACTGAGCACAGGTACGTTACTGAGCACAGGTACATTACTGAGCACAGGTACGTTACTGAGCACAGGTACGTTACTGAGCACAGGTACGTTACTGAGCACAGGTACGTTACTGAGCACAGGTACGTTACTGAGCACAGGTACGTTACTGAGCACAGGTACATTACTGAGCACAGGTACGTTACTGAGCACAGGTACGTTACTGAGCACAGGTACGTTACTGAGCACAGGTACGTTACTGAGCACAGGTACGTTACTGAGCACAGGTACGTTACTGAGCACAGGTACATTACTGAGCACAGGTACATTACTGAGCACAGGTACGTTACTGAGCACAGGTACGTTACTGAGCAGCTGATGCTGATTGCTGTTGAGCTCAGTGCAGGTGTGTAGAGGAACGGTGTGGCAGCATGACGTGCCTTTGGTCCCAGTCTGAATGTGTCCTTAAAGAGCTTAAACACCTGTGACAGCCTCGGCCCACATGAACATTTGAAAATGTTCTCTGCAGAATGTTCTCTGCAGTCTGCGTAACAGACGCGCTGTAACCGAACATGGTCGCTCTCCGGCTCTTGGTGTAGGATTTAATGATGTATGTGCACGATAACAGGTTCTTTGCCCAGCTCAAACTCGCCTTTAAGTAAAGTTGATCCCCCTTTATAATCATTATATTACATTACATAATGCTTTTATTTAAGCATTTACTTAAATAAAAGCTACATATGAAACATTTTTCCCACTAATTCTGTGGTTGCATACAAATGCATACGTCACTTTTCATGACACAAAGACAGACGTCCAGGCACCTGCTGTTACTGCTGCTTATATGTCTTCAGAACATGCGAGATGCAGAGCCTAACTAACTATCCGTGACTTATAATTAAAAAACTAATGAAAATATTGGTCCTATGCTTGTTGTAGTTTGTATTGTCAGAATCAGAATCCTTTTTATTGCCATGTAACAGGAAGTCACAAACTAGGAAATTGCTTTGGAAACAAGGTAAAGCAGAATAAAAACAAGAAGGCATGCTTAAATATCTACATTTCTTCAGTTTACTATAAACAAGTGCACTAGGTGCACACAATACTGTTCATTGTAATGCGCAGAAGCTGGAGGTGATGGAGATAAAGCAGAAACCAGGATAAAGAAATGATGGATCATGTTTTTTGTGCAGTCTGGGAAAGAAAGTCACACAAAAATGGTGAATTAAAACAGACCCCGTCCTCCTGGAACAACAGATTCAATTAGTCTTAGCTACAATCAGACGTGTCAACACGTTCTACCATATGCTCATTGACATGAACTGTCCCAGTCAAATAAATAATTATACATAGTGGTAGAGTAGAAAACGTCTGAAGGCTGACGCTCTGAGGAGGAGCAGAAGTAGAATGCCTTTACACATACTGTATACACCTGCACACAATTCAATCATTTCACATATTTTATACCAACAGTAAATATATACATCATTCCCCATCTTTAACAAGAGGCTCGTAGTTTGGAATATACAACATTACTCAATTATACTAAAAAATACTCAATTAAAACTAGATCTATTCGTCTGATTCATCTCTGTACCTTTACACTTTAATCCGTGGGTTTGATTTCTCCCTGAAGATAAAACACAACATGAGTGGTGTTTTATCTGAATAGACCGAAAAGACTCAATTGCTTTGACTAAAGCGTTTGGAGAGAGCTGGCTCCTGGACAAGTCCATTGAACCAAAGTGGCTCTCTCACTAAAGAGTTGGGACTCCCCCGGTTTAAGACTGGAGCAAGACTCTTTTACTGGTGCTTTACCTCTGTTCATGTTTCAGGGAAAGCCATCGTGGAGAACATCACAGACGCCATCTACAGCAGCAGGAAGACTCTGTGTGTGATCAGCCGCCGTTACCTGCAGAGCGAGTGGTGCTCACGGGAGATCCAGATGGCCAGGTTTGCCTCCTCTTAGTCCTGCTCTAGTCCTGGTTCAGTCCTGCATTAGTCCTGGTTCAGTCCTGGTTCAGTCTTGGTTCTGTCTTGTTTTGTGTCCTCTGTAGCTTCCGTCTGTTTGATGAGCAGAAGGACGTCTTGATCATGTTGTTTCTGGAGGAGATCTCGTCTGTTGAGCTCAGTCCGTTCTACCGCATGAGGAAGTTGGTGAAGAGCCGCTCGTACCTGAGCTGGACCCAGACCCGGACCCACAGGGGCCTGTTCTGGGAGAGGGTCCAACAGGCCCTGGAGTCTGGGAACGATCCTACAGAGGCCCACAACCTGCTAACTGCTAATGTTTAGCTCATAGCACTCAGCAACATGCTAACTGCTAACGTTTAGCTCATAGCACTCAACAACATGCTAACTGCTAACGTTTAGCTCATAGCACTCAACAACATGCTAACTGCTAATGTTTAGCTTATAGCACTCAACAACATGCTAACTGCTAACGTTTAGCTCATAGCACTCAACAACATGCTAACTGCTAATGTTTAGCTTATAGCACTCAACAACATGCTAACTGCTAATGTTTAGCTTATAGCACTCAACAACATGCTAACTGCTAACGTTTAGCTTATAGGACTCAACAACATGCTAACTGCTAACGATTAGCTCATAGGACTCAACAACATGCTAACTGCTCAACTCCATTCTTGAATATGGGTATTACTTCTGATGTTTTCATTTTATTTGGAAAAATGCCTTTGATAAAATATTGATATACATAAAATATTGATATACATAAAATATTGATATACATAAAATATTGATATACATAAAATATTGATATACATAAAATATTGCAGATACATGTGAGAGGTTTGGCTAAAGTCAATCATCTGCTTCACCAAATCCACATCGTAACTGTCAGACGACCATTTATCCTTAAAGTTGTTTATCATTTTAATTATTTCATTTTCTTTTACACTTCTAACTAAGAAAAAAAGAGTTTATATTACTTATTACTAATACTTCTTTCAAATACAGTAGCATCAGACGGTGGAATAATGTCCTGAGCAGGAGTAGGCCCAACATTTACAAAGAATTGATTAAATGCCATCCATCCATCCATTTTCTACCCTTTAATCCATTTCTGGGTCAGGGGGGTGGCAGTCAGAGATGCCACCCAAGTCTCATAGCACCAGCCCCTCACTGACCCTCTGCAGGTGGTGAGTCCACAGGAGGCTGCTCTCTGAGTGTGAGCATAGCCTTGATCTTTCAGTGGGGGCTTTGGGCAAAGTGGGGTTAAGTGTCTTGCCCAAGGACACAACGACAGCAGTCATCAGTGGGAGTCAGAGAAGGTGTGGAGGTTGGAATTGAACCCACATCCTTCAGGCCTGAAGGCCAATGCTCTACCAACTGAGCTACTGTCGCCCCTCCTTAGATGTTAGATGTAAAGATATTTGATGGTGGTTTTTGGCTGTACCCTTCGTGATCCGAGGTTCTGCTTCTTTGAAACATTTGTCTGGATCTGGATAAAGCTCAGATGTGT